CCTTTCTTAACATAAAGGGTTATAGAAGGAGGCATTTAATTATCTTTTCTGTGGTTACCTTAGTAACGACAAGCCAGGCCCTGGGCCACCAACACTGGGGTGCTCTGTCCCAGTCACACCCTACCACTTATCTACCCCCTTCTAAACCTCCTTCACTCTCCCAATACTTCCTCCCATCTGCACCTGGCTGCAGCCCCACCAGACACACAGACACATCTCTAAGTCTTCTTACATTTTCCCAAATGTTTCTTCCTTCTATTTATCTATTTCCTCATGGTTTTTTTCCTGATCCTAGTACCTTCCCCCATTTTCTGAGCTTTATGTTCTCGTATTCCTTATTGTGCAGAGGATGCTTCTTCTCGACAGTTTGATCTCCCTGAAGATGATAGGAGGAGGTGATCACTAGGGACAAAGGCAAACTCAGAAAACATACCACCCCAATTACCACGTTGTTCTCAGTAAAATCTTAAGTTTGCAACCATGTATTATCCTTCCTGCTAAGGACTATGTAGAAATGGGGATGTAAGAGCATGTTAGCATTTTAGGCTGAAAAAGTTGGGGCTGTTCAGCCTGGAGAAGAGAAGGCTGCGTGGACACCTCATAGCAGCCTTCCAGTAACTGAAGGGGGGCTATAGGGTTGCTGGAGAGGGACTATTTATTCGGGACTGTAGTGATAAGACAAGGGGTAATGGGTTAAAACTTAAACAGGGGAAGTTTAGATTGGATATAAGGAGGAAATTCTTTCCTGTAAGGGTGGTGAGGCACTGGAATGGGTTGCCCAAGGAAGCTGTGAATGCTCCATCCCTGGCAGTGTTCAAGGCCAGGTTGGACAGAGCCTTGGGTGACATGGTTTAGTGTGAGGTGACCCTGCCTACGGCAGGGGGGTTGGAACTAGATGATCTTAAAGTCCTTTCCAACCCTAACTATTCTATGATTCTATGACTCCTGGGGAGAAAAATGGACCAGGCATTCAAATCATCCTTCTTATTCTGCTGTCCATACAATGTGTTCATACATCGGTTCACCTTGAATGAAAACAGCAACCACGACAGGGAGATTTGACACGGGTAATTCCACTTGCAGGACCACAGTTAAGACACTGCTGTGTTTGGTACGCTTCACTCTAAATCTCTGTCTCGTCGCTGTCTCTGTAAGCTGTCTGGTTTCTAAATTCTAATCAGAAGAATATTTCTGTCATCCAGATGACATCCTGTCTGCTGACAATCTTTTAGCTGGGATAACACTTCCTTGAGGTTCTCTGTCTAGATCAAAGAGCCCTCAACAAACTCTGCATGACTGGGCTGGGGCTGCCTGAAGCTGCCTGAAGCAGAAAGCTCTGCTTCTCTGTCGCAAAACTGCATAGTACTTATTCATCACCCTTGCATTTATCACAGCAAGATTCATAAATATTTTTGACAGATGATATATTTCTAAACTTCAGTTTTCCAGCAGAAACACCAGAAAGTGGCAGGCAGATGCTTTTTATTCAGTTTGAGGGAAGGATACCAATACTGACAGTAGCAGTCCATCCTTGCAGCAAAGGCAATCCATCATACTCACTATACCTTCCCCTTGGCTCCAGCCGGATACATCTCTGTGGTTTTAGCACTCCAAAGTCTCTGCATTTCTCCAGAGTAGTACCTGTCTTTTTCTCAGAAGTCACGTTAAAAGTCCTCCCTCCAGCAGGTCTTGCCTTTAGGTGTTTTCTTCCAAGTAGAAAGGATTTATTTAGCAAACAGAGTCATCTTTGGTGGGAGGGCACTGGAAGAAACTCACATTCTGATTCATCATTGTTTTCTGCAGCAGAGTGGCCCCTTGCACTGAGATGAGGTGTCAGCAGGATGTCAGTGATCATCTGCTCTGTTTAGCCAGACAGCCATGGCTTGGAGTAGCCACAGTGTGCACTGCTGTCTCCCCAGCCAGCCCTTGGCGGGCTACCATGGGAAAAGGGTGTTAGGGGATCTGGAGAGAACCTGGAGCTGTGGAGAAGGAGGGCGATGGGGCTGTGATGAGGTCAGCTAGAATTTCCGCCATAAATCATTGTAAGCAGACATGGTTACTGCTGCTGTCCATGGATCGAATTGTCTCGTTCTACCACACCTTAGGTGAACTGTGGGACAGTGATACCACAAAGCTGTGGGCCTGTGTACTATTTCTGCTTGTCAGAGTCTCATATGGGAGACCTAAATTGCGCATTCAGACGGCATCCTTAATGACCCAGTGAGTGAAGAATAAAATAAAGGTAGTAATAAAGTGCTGCAGTGAAACCCCTTAGGACACTGATGAGAAAGCACGCAGCTCTGCTTCCCACTAGATGGGTGCAGATTTCTTCTGATGGCGGTACCAAGCTGTCACTGCGGCTGCTTGCTGTAGCGTGAGATGCCAGCTGCACGATACCATTAGCATTCCTCATCAGCCACGGCTTATGTCTCTCCCTGTGCACGACGTTGGAAAACCAGGTCATTCTCTTGGCTCATCCTCCTCTGATAACTCCTCTTTTCTTCCACTGCCAGGAAGCCAAGGACGGTGTAATTAGTTTTCACTAATGTTCAGCTCTATGTGCAACTGCTTTTGGCTAAAGCCAAAAATGAAGTTTTCGCATAGTTTGCGTGCCCTAATAGGAAGGAAACTTGAGACAAATTTGAGAGGTACCCATTTTCCTTGTGTTATAATAATTCAGCTGATATTTTTCAGAAGACCTCAGGGAATACTAATGACATGTTAAGCTTCCAGTACTTGCAGAATTGAGAATAAATGAGTGAGATTCCAATGAAAATATAAAGTTATATCTACCCATACTATATAACAACTGGTGCTGCAAGAGTCTCAGAACAAGCAAACTGAAATCATACCCTTAAAAGCAGAAAGACTGCCCAAAGTAGTATTTAACTGCTTGGGAGTTGGAGGCAGATCAGAATCCTGATATTCCAAAGAAGCTGCAGGGGAAAACAAGAATGAAAAAGTCAACTCAACCCCCAGATCAGACATTTAGGTTTTCATAGTAAGGCAGTGGAAATGATGGCTTTTAGACCTGTGAGGAATAAATTTTGAGACAACTATATAGAGTGTGCTACAGAGAGATAAAGCAACAAACTTTACTAAAGGTCAAGTGATTTCGTGCTGTGAGTGAATACATAAACATAAATGCCCGTGAAGAATTATCTGGATGGTACAGTGGAGCTTTTATATTGGCAGAGTAACCATATCAGTAATTAGAGCTGCATTAATGTGCTTGAGTGATGCTCTGAAAGTGTCACTGTAATGGCAGTCACAGCATCAACTGAAGCAACTAAGCTGTGAGAGGAGGAGCTATGAGCTACAGAGGCTCCTTGCTAGGAATGTGCTTAGAATTTGACATGCTGGAACACTATTACATAAAACATTATTTAAATAACAATAATAAAACCCCTCAGTATTAGTATCCACTACAATAACTGCAAAGTCAACCAAGTTATATGCAGTTTTTCAGGAGATAAAATATGAAGCAGTGAATGTATTAATAGTCATTCATGTCCCCGCATCACCAGGTGGGCTCTTTGGAAAGAAGCATACTGAGTTTTAAGGAGCTACATTGTGCTTTGTATACCTTTGGAGGAAGATCCCTGAAAGTACAGTTGGGATTGACACTGGAAACATTTAAATTCCCCTTTTGCAATTGTTTAGGTTAAGAAGCTCTAAACATGGGATATAAGCTGTCTCTGCAATATCTCTCTCATATTTGTCTCTGCAAACAAATATGGATGTGTTCACTCAATTATGTGAAAGTTACAGCTCACTGCAGGGAAAGTATCAACCAGAAAAGTTTGCAGGTGGAGTTAATAGGAATACTTGTGCTTATAGAGAGAAACATTTTCCAAAAAAAAAGGAAAAGTCATACTCAAGCACAGGTGATCCTCAGTGCTCAAATTCAGATACATTCATTTTACTATCACAGCCACTAATTTTACTGAAATAGGATTTGGCCCAAAAGGCTACACTGCAGTTAAACTTGCCATAACAGATCCAGACATGATTGAAGCCCAAGTTCAAGGTATACTTTCAGATGTGTGGTGCTAGCTGCAGATAGAATTCTCTTGTTTTTCAGCTTCATCTCTTGCAAGCCATGAGGTTACAAACAGATCCTACAGAAATAAGTCATGTTGACAAGTCTGATGACATCTTGTTTCCTCAAGTGGTTAATTTAATGAAAGCTATTTCAGTGGTATCCACAATCAGTACTAATGTGATAATGAGTATCATCTCAGTACTCTGTGTTGTATGAAAACATTGGTTTGGCTCACAATGGGGCAATTACAGTTTTGTACATACACGAGACAAATACTGAGGATTTAGTGGTTACAGATGATGCATAAAGAATGAATTCAAAGAAGCCCACGACAGAAATGGTTCTTTGAATCTTTTCCAGATTTGAACCCTGAATGTTAATTGTGCTTAAAATGTAATATGCAGAAAAGAACAGTTTAGCATGACTGGGTTTTTCTAATGCATTGCAAAAAGTGAAATAAAGGAACTTCTCTGACATCTTTATGCCCAGATTCTTGCAGCTTACATTCTTTGGTGATATTTAGATTATGTAAATATGGGCAATATAAGTGGAGGTCTTATTTGTAATGCAGCTACTGAGTTGTTAGGAAAAATCTAAACCTTGCAATTGCATCCTCCTATAAAACAAACAGTGCCTTCTTCACTGGAGGTGCAGAGTTAAGTACCCTCTAGTTAGATCTTGTACTGAAGAGGCTCATGCGTAAAAAGCCCTCCTCTGAGAATAACTTTGCAAATGAAAAAATACAAAAAGCCACAACTTTTATACGTTTTAACACACATCCTCAGGAGGGGAAAAGAAAAAGAGATCTCTCTATTCTCAACATAGAATAGTTAGGGTTGGAAAGGACCTTAAGATCATCTAGTTCCAACATAAATGTCCTTCTAAAAACATTGCCTAAGATATGATAATAGCTCTGGTTTGATTCACTGTTCCTGCCTTATGATTTTCTTTACAGACAAAGGGACACCTCTTCCCACTGCTGGCCCTTGGCCATCTGCTACTGCTGGCACTGTGGGGGTCATCCTGCAAATGGTTTGCATCCAGGCTCCAGCAGGCCATTGATCAGTTACTAACAGAACTGAGTAGAGACCTCCAAGGCAGGATGAACTGGCAAGAGCAGAGAAGGCAGATTGTAAAAAAACCCAACCAGCCATTGTAACATGCACAGGAAGACAGCTTGAGTTTGAATATTAGCTTCTTTGTTCCTTTCTAACAGATACTTCCATTGAATAGTAAATGAGCAATGTCATTTGGTATTTTGAGAATGATTAAAAGCTAAGACAAAAAATAACCTAAGTCCTTTTCTTATCTCTTGCACCCAGTGATCTTGAAGTTTTCACCAAACTGTTGCACTAATATTCTTGTAGTCACATATTGGGAAGTGGGAAAAGTAGAAACATAGAATCACACAATATCCTGAGTTGGGAGGCACCCACAAGGTTCACAGAACCCAACTCCTCATTCCACACAAGGCAACCTAAAAGTTAAACCATATACCTAAGTGTTGTTCCAACTCTTTTTGACCACCAGTGGGCTTGGAGACATGTTCCACTAAAGATCTCTGAGCATATGACCTGCAAGCCATGCAAAAAGACATTTTGTTGACAGCACCGTCATGGAGAGCACAAACCTTTGCTGTGGTTGTGCAATTGTGTTGCAAAGGAATGAAAGGATGATAGTTGGTCGTGTAGGAAAAGTAGGTCTGTGGGTATGAGTCGAGACCCCAGGCTCTCCTATCCAGCATGGTGGAGCTGCTCAAGTAGAAGACTTTGTGCTGAAGCTGGTGGACGCACTGTCAGGGTAACACCTGCAGTCATTGGATCTGGTCCTGAAGATTTGGCTCCAGCACCCATGGCCCATTAATGTTTACGCAGTGTTAATATATTACAAATAAAAAGCACTTCTGCGTGGGTCTTTTGTCCTGCTGATGACAAGGAGATTCTTCCCACTTCCCACAGTTCCATCCATGCTGGCGTCTTTTGTAGAAAGAATGGTTTCTAGAGCATTTATGTCTCACAGAAAATGTTATGGAAAGAGCCTGTGATTCTCTTTAGGATCCTGAAAAATGTATCTGTAACAGAGCAAAATCTTCCTTCATCTGCCTTCCTTCATCTGCCTTTTCATTAAGAGAATATTTGTGTGCAGATCAGCTTTATTTGCTCCAGCTTATTGCAGTTATACATCTTAAGCATCACTTCCCTGAACGTTACCCATGCATTTCAGTCTTCTCCTCAGTATCAAGGGGCATACACAGCATTCACCTCATATCTACAGCCAAACTGAGAAGGAAAATTCATGGGCCTTCTTTTTAATAAAATAAAATGATGAGGCTGCTTCCCTCTGCCTGAAGATATATTTTAGACAAGCAAATAATATGATAAATATATTCTGAAAAAGGTCAGGGCAACAAATGAAGTGCCTGGCTCTTTGAGCAGTAATAGCACTGAGCAAAGAAATGTCTTCTCATTCTGTGAGGAGCATAAATCCTGTCTTCAGTTCTTAAAGTATTCACAAATAATCTTTCAAAATAGAACATAAAACCAGTTTTTGTATATCCGTGTTATAGGCTACAAACAAGGGCTTCCTCCAGAGGCAAACTTTGCTTCTCCAGCATCACCATAAATTACCATAAGCTCCTATGCAGACTGTGCCTGATGTTGAAAATAAAGTTTTATTACTGAAAAGATTTTTTCTAGTATTACTGAAATTAGTTTTAAATGCCATCCTAAAATACTTACATGGCATGTTCCTAAAGCACATATGGCTTGTACAAGCTGTGTTTGCAAGCACAGGACCATTTTTGTATTTGTGTGCTTTTAGAAGTGGAAATGATTTAGACCAGCACTTTTAAGTTCGTAGCTGATCCTTTAAAGATGATGTAGTCCTTACGGAGCAACTGCTCACAAACTGCTATGCACATTTCCTCTGAAATTCAGGTCTCTTTATTGTTCCTCAAAGTGTCTTTAATGTTCAGTGATATGGAAATCACAGGTAGGCAGGCATGGAAACGTCACTGGTGCTGCTCATCTCGCAGAAAGCTTGTGATGCCTTTGGGGTGCGTTATAACACAGGTGGTTTCAGTCTTCCCTTTTATTTCTCTAAGACAGCAGCATGATAGAGCAAACACTTCCAGGGCATTGCAGGATGTGACATAGAGAGCAGGACTAATGCTGTGTAGGCTTTTGCAAGCCCCAGATGGCCAGGGACCTGTGGGTCAGCCTTGTGCTCTTCACTGAAGCTCACTATAGCTTTCCATCTTAACCAGGTTCAAAGAAAGGCCAAACCAAACCCCGAACCAAACAAACAAGCCCTATGTGCCCCTACAAGCTTATCAGCACAGCTGAAGCTTTTCTTTAATTTCTTGTTTGCTTGTTTGTGTGGAGAAACCTGCAGTCACTTAACAGGCTTGGCATTGTGTGCGACTCCCTGCATCTACAACTAGGTCAGCCGGCAGGGTAAGGCACTGTACACACGAGAGGCTCCCTGGGCTCAGTCGGTGCCTGCTGATTGTATTTTGGGAATTAGCTAGGTAGAAGAGAATGTCCTCCCAGGCATGTGCTACCCTGAAACTTTAGTCGGCTTGCTGGAGTCATCTGAAACCTCTTCTTGGCTCCAGCTGAAAAGAGTGCTAGATCCATGGCAGCTAAAGCAAGACTGAAATGTTGGGAAGCTCAGGGGGATTCTCTTCTTCCTTCTTTTCAGCACTTGTAACTACTCAGTAATTAGTCACAGCACCCAACACTATATAGGGCTTGAGCTGTGCTCAGAGAGTATCAGCTTTTCAAAGTGATGTGGCTAACTCTTGGGTAGGATAAAAGTGAGAGGATAAAGACCTAGAGTATTTTTACTAAGACTATTTTTATTTTCCCTATGAACATAATTCCTATCGCTGCCTTAGGCAAAGACAAATAAAACTGCAAAGATGACAGCTACCCTTACGTCTAGGCAGGCAGAACTCTGCATTCTGCCAAAGCGTGGGTTTGCCTCCTCTGTCTCTAGCAGAGCTGTCTCTGTTGTAGTGCCATCAATGTGGAAACACTGCTGCAAGAACATATTTTTGGCTGTCACTCAGAAACTGCTGCCAGCCCACTGCAGAGCCTGGGAGACCTTTTACTCTGTGAGCTTGCCTTTAAGGGGAAAGTCCTTATAGGATGAATGTTCGCCATCGCTCTCATAGCTCAAATGTTAGGATAATCTGTAAATGAAAAAAACCAATCAAGCAACAGATAAAGCTGACAGCTCTGCAGGGTCCCTCCTGGGACATGCTAATGCTCTAAAAGCTAGGGAATTATACCCAGGTTCCTTCCAAACTTGCCCATATTATAAAATTCTCCTTCAGGCAGGATACCAAAGAGTTTTTGACTGCACAACTAATGCGGAGGTGACAAACAGAGGGACACTTCCGTCCTACCTTCTCCTTTTTTGATTGCTTAAAACAAAATCTTCCATATTACCCAGAATTTGTAAAAGTGCAGCTAAGTAATCTTTCTACAACCCTCTCTGTCCCTCCTTTTGCACTATGCCCAACCATCCCTATGCACCAATGACGGCACTTAACCCTATTTCAGGAATTATAGAGTCAGAGGAGGTTAAAGGAAGCTTTAGGGGTGATCATTAACAACCTCTTGGGGAGGCTGCCTGCACAAGGATAGCGGTGGAGGTTACCAGGGGGCATGGTTGTCCTGCCCAGATGGTGTTGCTGTGTGTTTGCACCTCAGCACATCTGCCCTGCTTCTTGAGGTGTGGTGGGAAAAGATCTGAGCTATGGGGAGCAAGCTGGAACTTCTGCAATGTGCTGTCCATGTGCAGAAGTAAGCTGGAAATACTCTGAAAGCCCTCCAAGTGTGGAGCCAGGGTGGCCACACAAGAAGCTTGTGCATAATTGCATTGCATTTTGAATTCACACTGAATTGACAGCAGCAATTTCTAGGGTGGATAAGCCTGAAGATGGAAAAGTCTGCTTAAGCACAGAAACACGAGTGCAGAAATGCATCAAATAATGAGAATATAGAAAAGGTGTAGTACAGATTTCCATTCTGTCTCATCGTGCAAGAAGAAATGAACAGTTGGAGAAATTAAAATGTGACACATTCAGGAGAGATGAGAAGTCAGCTTGTTTCTCAAGATGGATAGCTCAGCCATGAGACTCCCAGCTACTAGTTGCTACCAAAGGCGAAATCTCTGTAGGAGTCAGTAAGGGCATGAATACTAACATGGGTATTCAGAGTTGCAACACTTTGAAATTTTGAAAGCAGTCGGAGTTTACCCAAATCCTCAGCTAATCAAGATTAGGACATTTCTTGCCCTTTCCTCTACTGATTACTGTCAGGGAAAGGATATAGAGCTACATAAGCCATGTGGCTAATCCAGCAAACAGCTAGTGTGATATACACATGGGTGTCACATTAAGAAATGTTATGACTTTGTAACAGTTACAGCCTTGGTGACAGTGGCATTCCTTTCAAGCATTCTCACCTGGTTGTGTGTTTTACTTCTTGTATAAAATCATTAATAACTTGAAAGTGAAAATCCAAAAAATGTCAAATCTAATGAGGGAACTACCCAGTGACTGGATGGGAGGCAGAGGCTCCCAGGAGTATTTGTTCACTGCCCTTTAAAAACAGGCAAATGTCTTAGATTACAGGTAAACTATGGCCTTAGATATATACTAATTCTCAATCACAATTAGCCCTCCACACTTTCCACAGAGGGACACTTCTAAGAAGCCTATTTAGATACACATGAACTCTCTGTAAAAATATCCTACTCTGGGTATTAAGAAGTCAAATTTTAAAACTGATCATACAAGCAGAACTACCCAGCAGTCTGTGCATAGCACCACCTCGGTAAAGGACACATCGAGTATTAGATCTCACTCCAATACCCCAGTTTCCCTGTGAGCATCACCTCTTATCAGATCACAATGTCTGGATTAATCCGTCAGGCCGGCAGCATGACATTAAGACTTGCACGCTACTGAGGCAAAAGGTCTCTCTGCAAATGTAACAAGCCAGCCACAGTGTTGCAATGCTTGCTAAAGAATTGCAAGAGCCTATAATATTGCATGGCTTTTCTGCCCAATTGCCACTGTGAAGGGATCTGAATGTTCATTACAGGAAAAACTAATGGGCTGTGCGGAAAATCATACAGGTGGGCATCATTAGTGGCATCTGAAAGGAGCAATATCTCTAAAATGCAGTAATAAGATTTTTTTTAATTGCATGAGGTTTTTGGAGCTGACAGCGCTGCAGTTTGCATATTACTATCAGTATTTTGGTTTAGAGCAACGAA